CAGTCCGAAGCACGGCATATCTACCGTTAGCGACTCTTAAATCACAGCACTCCACAACCAACAGACTGCTGCGTCTAATAGCTCGGTGTCTCGATGTGCCCTTGAAGCCGCAATTGCACGTCGGCAGCTTCAAGGGAAACGTTGAATGTAATAAATGTTGCAGTGCTTGTACACTAACGGTTGGAAGACCCGGTCCAGCCAACGTGACAAGTGTTCGTCTGCTAACGAAAGAACTTTTCCCCTGCCATAGTCACTGCGCGCCTTCGCGCGTCGTTCTGCCGCTAATATCGGATGCAGCACCTACACAGTGCTACATTCTTATCTATTACTTGGGATTTCGTGGAAAGCGTCTTAAGAACATATAGATTGAGAATTGACGAACGACAGCTCCGGAATTCCAATCCTCTCGGCACTCCACATCCGCATGAGACTAGATGACAACTTCCTATTGGCCGAGAACAGGGCTGATTGCGCGGGGAAGCTGCCAGATTTAACATCGTGCCAAGTCGTGCAACGCTGTTAGACAGCGTGATGCATTTCTCTTAAAGGTTTTATCACACACAGTTGTATCGTGCTACGGCCGCGCTGAAAAGGCTACCGGCAAGAGCAAAGTAGAGGCTGCGCAATGACACCCGTGACTGAGCAGAGCTGAGCGCAGAGCAGAGTATTTGAAGCTCAAACCATCCCCATGTCCACGACAAATCCCTAAACTTTGCGACTCCACACGCACGGCCAACGACTGTCGCATTACCAATGTGTCTCATTACGCTGCCCACTACAAAGCACCGCTCCGCCGTCGCTCCGGCGAGCAGCTTTCTTTCCCTCTTACACCCGCTACAACAGACTTTCTCACGGTCCCCAACGCCTGCGCTGCTAACGACAATACGATGCTTCGCAATCGTAGTCTGACGCCCGCGGATAGGCGGTACAGGCTCTCGTTTACGATACCTTTCATCGGTTCGATGTTGACCGTTGCCATCGCCCACGATAATGAGCCTCCAAGGCCCGCGGGCAGTGTGGGTTGTCTGTCAGCACAATCCACAATGTCACTATACGAGGACCTTCCAGCGGAGGTGAAGCTGTGTATTTTCGAGCAAGAGTACAGTTGCTCACGGCTTCCTATCAAGATAGTACCTGGGGTGCAAGCCCGATATGTCGTCGAATTCTTTCCAAATGTGGACGCCTTCAACTCGCTCGATCGCACGACCGCACTATTGGCTTTCCACCGCAACAATTTTGTGCTGCTGACAGTGAATGGTAAACATGCCCTTCACCCCCGAACTCAAATACCGATCGCGGACGACGACCAAGAGAACATCGTCTTCTGGAGCACGACTTATCCGGACGCCATCCTGGCGTCCATCCACATCGTTGTCAAAGAAGAGGCTTCCGACGTACCTCAAGCTATTGATGCGCCTTGTCTGGTGTCTATGGCCATGCTCAAGACATACATCGCCCGTCTCGCTGCCCGACAAGTATCCGAAACAGCTCCGCATGTGGCTCGTCACTGTTCTCAATTCTCTGGTGCTACAATCAGATACAAAACCGCGATCGATGTCCGTCGTCTCACCCACGGCCGTCGTGAAGTCGCCCAACGCCTACTCATCGACTGCTTCCGACCGCTCAAGGCACCCGGAAACACCTTCTTCATGAACTCTGACATCGCAGGTTTCTCACCTCGTGAACTGGAGTTCGATCAAGCTTCTCAGATCCAGAGGCCGCTCTCAGACTGGCTTTCAGATGTACTTTCTAGTCACGAGGCATGGGCCTGCCGGGATGCTAGGATACTCGATCTTCGTGGATCAGCGGCAGGGGACGAGTCGGGTGAGCTGTTGGCACCTTTCGGCTGCATTGCCGAGGCTTCGTGGCTCCTGCTACGCCACTGCCATGACGCAGTATGGCATTTGTTGGGCACCCCCCTCAAGCAACGATTGCTCCGAGATGCTGCAATGGTCACGCACAATGCGATGGCCTTGGTCATAGGTGCAAGGCAGGTCCGCTCTGATTGGGAGTCGGCAGGATGGCCGTCGACTTTGAAGGGCGCGTGTGGGACGGCATCGTGTGTTTGTGCCTTGGAACGATTCCTTGGCCCTGCTTTCCCCAGCATACCGAGCGAGCAGTGGCACCCGTTCACGCAGGATTTTCGTGCGGCCGTGCAGCCTACGGTCTGGCGTTCGCTGTCCCACATGGCGATATTGCTGCACCATCTACCAGAAAGATTTGAGCCGTTGAACGATGTCTCGTCCTTGCGGCAATGCATCCAGGCCCTTGAATCGATTCGAGCGGCAGGCCTCGAGACTGGACTCCCCTGCGACGATTGGCTCCAAGCTGATCTTGAAGCCATCAAGGCGATCGAGGCGGAAGTTAAGCTTTGGGTCCGTGACAACGGTGCCGACGCTCTGGCTCAATTCGTCCCAACTGCGAGCGGCGATGACGATGACCCCGACTCGGCGGGCTCGGCGATATGGTATCGTATAAAATCTTTCTCGTCGTTACGCATCGCTGAGTTGGAAAATGATAAGTTGTTCTTAAAAGAGCTGTCAGCCGAGGGAGTTGATGTTCTATGGGAGTCCGACTTCCTAACAAGTGATCGATGTTGTCCTTCAGTAGATGAGTAAATTGGGGAACAAGAGCGATATTGGCCGTCCTCGTTGCCGCCTTCCATGAACAAGTACTGAATGAGTCGTCGGCTAGCAATGTCATTCCGTCTAATATAGCATGCTAGGAAGCTGCGACGCTCCTCCTTGGCATATCGTGCTCCAAGTTGGTGCCGAACCGGCGATCGTGAGTCCTGTGAAGCATAAGGAATGAGGCCCAACTCGAGCTGCTTCTGTCTCTGCTTCTCGCTACCCCAAAGAATGCCACATGTTGGACGGGAAGTAGTTGTATATAGCAAGTACGTTCAGCTGGAAAAACTCTTCCCTGTTACGACACAGGCCGATAGCGTGTTCGAGAAGGCTCCCTTTGGTAACCCGCACAGAATACAGGAAATGCTCTGTGGGGTTGATCATGTACAAGGCTGAGGCTTAGGTCAGGTGAGTATCTTGCACGCGCGAGCGAGATTAGTGTGGTCGACTACGACAATTATGAAAGGCTGACTACTTACGAGCTCATCTACATGTTAGTAAACCTTGGGACGCAGCCCTGCCCACCAACGGAAGGCATTACAGACTATCGACCATTGAGTACCAACACTTTCAGCCAATCTCATCGCAGATCTCCTGGCCATACATACGGACGGGCTATCGTCGAATATGCAATAAGTGAGAGGAAGATCACGAAATTCGCTAACAGTCGCCTCGTTGAAGAATGTGATACTACGTCACCAAGTATGTGGCTACTGCATCCCGCAGTATACGCCTCTTGGGGCAAAAGGAGGTCAGCAAGTGCCGACGAACACCGTCATGACTCACTAGCGATACTCTGGCCGAAGACAGGCACGTGAATATCGTCACTAGCGTGCAAAAGCAAGCCTCCCTTTTCCAACTTAACGGAAGACTTAATCAAAGGACTGCAACCTCCCGAGACCGGTCAACTTCTGCTTCCCTAGCAAGTCCATAACCCCTCCTCGATCATCTCGCACCTGTCCTTCGTCTTGTTCTTGAAGATCAGCTTCGTGCGTTTACCGTCAATGTTTGACGGGATCTGCTTGTATGAATAACAGATGTACGTTTCTACACGCAGGACAGTTTAGAGGGTCTGAACAGGGCGACCGGATTACCATTTGAAGCTCTCTATCACCGACAGTATTTTGTCTCGACAACATCATCTCGTAGGAGCACCGTCCATGCAGGCAGGACACCCTCCCGAATC